AAATAAGTTATAAAATATTTTTTTCCCAAATTCGTAAATCAATTAGTAATACAACTTCGGCACCACATAGATTTGAAAAAAACTATTGGGCGCAACGGTGAAATCACGTCATCATTGTCACGTGATATCACCTTCTAATAAAAATATAACAAATAAGCAAGTGGTTCTCACATATTATAATAATTATCCTGCCATATCATTTAATAATAACTTAAGTGGAATTTATCTGTTTTATTTATAAATTTATTATTAGATAGTGACACTACGTATCAATGATAATACGATGTCAAATACGTACTTGTAGACTTGAGGTGTATCCAAGTTAGTAGGCCCAAGAGAAAGACATTGCACAAACGTGGACTTAGGGCAGCCATTTATAAGGAATGCTAGAGAGGGACAAGACTATTGTAGGCTTGCATGTGTAGATGAATCTATTTTCCAAAATTCTTAATTTTTTTCCCAATAAATATTTTATTATCCACCTTAAAGCAAAACTTAAAAAATTTTGGTTGCTTTTTCACAAATTCAGTAACATTAAAGGGAAAAAAAAAAGTATACTCTCCATTACAACCCAAGCAAAAGTATGAAATAAGTTGTATGCCTCTCCGCCCCGGCGGGGCGGTAGAGTTTTTGTGCCTCAAAATATCATGAGTTTCATATAAACACACATTTACTAGAAGAACCAAGGAAGCATTAAGGTATCGAAAAACTACTTTCGTTACTGTACATTCACTTTTTATCTAATGAAAATCTCTAATCATATAAAGTCTCTTTATTTTATGATTTTTTGGTACCATCGTACTACCCAAAAAGCAAAAATCTTTTGCGACAGTAAAATTTTGTGAATCTCATTAGTCGTTACACATAAAAGACGGGAAATATATATTATACACACACATATATATATATATATACACGTATATATGTCGTACAAGCATCCCATAATATGTTAGTGTTATAGCCTTATAGACTGTTGTAGTTCATATGGAAAGATTTGAACTCACATGAACGAAGTTTGCTGTTTTACAAAGGGAGATAATAATCATCTTCAACTGATGCAGACAACCTAGTGCATGCTAGTGTAGAAAATTCATAAACCAACTGTTCCAGTCAATATTAGTGTATATCAAGCATTTGGGTGCTTGTATCTAAATGTGTAAGTACTTTTCCTTGCTCATTAAGGAACTAAAAGGGTTGTATCTCATTTGGGGGTCCCCCTAGCTAGTTAAGTTTATCCATCCCTTTGCCTAAAAGAGGTTTAAGAAAAGTCAATTGCATTAGACCACCAATTCAACAACAGAACTTTGTTGCCACACCCTATATATATATATATATATAGAGAGAGAGAGAGAGAGAGAGAGAGATGAACACGTAAACAATAATTTAAAGCTAGCACTGCAAATATTTGGCTATTTTCCAAACAATAATCTCTTCTCTCTCTGTCTCTCTGTCTCTCTTCCAATTGGGAATTAAAGAAAAACCATTAAACATCACCAAAAGAAGTAAAAAAACAATGCTGATTTTTGGAAAAAGAAAAACTTTTTCAGGTTGGGTATAACCCACCCAAGTTAGCATCACTAACAAAAAGGCTCCATGCACTAACGTTATAGAAAGCAATCTTTTTTTCATTTTTAGACCCACACGATCATGTCCAACCAACCTTGGAACAAAAATAAACCTGCTCAAAAGGACACCATGTAAAAAATAATAATTATATTTTTTTTATTTTGGGTTTTGGATAATGTCTCTTGTGGCTGTATAGCCGCCACATCTCTACCTCTGAGCAACACAATTCCAATCCACACGTGTTGAAAAATATGTATCCACACTTGCATATGTGTGTGAGTGTGTGTGTGTGAGTGTTATTCAATAAGAATTATCCACATAATTACTTAATATTCAGCATCTTTCTTTATAGATAAATGCTCATAATCCTTCACATATGTAAACATAGGGAAGTAAAAGTTTTGTAAGCTAAAAAATGTATCTTATTGAGGAACAGTAAACAGATTGATTTTGCTTGTTAGTTTCAAAATCTTCCAGCTTTGGTTATAGAGAGCATACCACTGCAATAAATATGATATGAGCAAAAGACTTTCTGAGGTAACTTTTCTTGTAGTTTTAGGACCAACCCGGATGTTCATTACTTTCGATTTTCTCAGTTCTAGATCACCTTATGTTTGATAAGAGACCCACATAAATATAATGTGTTCTTAGGTTTTTGTGAATATTAATTGAGACACTCGGTCGTTGTTGAACATGGTTTGATTTCATTAACCGAAAAAACAAATCGTATAATTTTTCAAACAAATAAACACACACACACACTTAAAAACTTCCCACTCATTGTTCACTCATAAAAATGAGAATCCTACCAATGGTTGGACTCTACACATATAAAAGTACCTCACCATTTGTCTATTTTTTCCACATGAAAATTACCATATATCCCTTATTCTTGCTTGATGATAAACACATCACAACATAATTCCTACAAATTCAAGGTATATGTAGAATATAAGGAGGAGAAAAGACCAGCAGATAACGACTACTAGCAATGAAAAGAGTCCATAAAGTTGGCTTCAATCATGTCCACTAGAGTGTATTTGTGCTTATCCTTTTGTTTCATTTTCCTGGTGGTAGCGGAGAAAGACATAATAATACAGTTGTTTCTTTAGGGTGCCATTTATTAATTTTGTCATGGAGGTGAATAAAGAAAGAGATCCAGCACTCAATATTGGATTTTAGAGAGAGAATGAGATTTGCTTTTACAGAAAAAAAAAAAATGGCAAAAAATGTCATTGGATGGAGGAAAAAAAGGGCAAAAAGGAAAGAACCAATAGAGCCCTTTACCTCACCTATATGGATAAAATCATGAGAAACATATTAGGAATATTTTCCCCCCTTTAGACTCTTGAGAGGGTGTATAAGGGAAAATCTTCGCAATCGACTCGGTGTTGTTTCAAAAAAAAGAAAAATGTAACAATCGACAACTCAATAAGGAGATCGATTCTAACTCGGTCCCGATCAAGTTGTAATAACATCAAAAATAACCGTAACATTTTATATTATAAGAAATACTTGTGACCTCTATGTACCAACTTTCTATTTTCCCTATGTTTCATCTGTTTCATGATAAAGATCTCCCACAATCCAGGTCTTTCCCATCAAAAGGTTCCCTCTCTCTATATTTGCAAAAGAGCAAAGAGACATGCCCACCTCACCCATCACAAAGATCTCTTCATTCACTTTAATGATCTCCTCCTCCTCCCATCATTCAAAGAATCTAAAAAAAAAAAACATATAGCCTTCAATTCAAACCCACTTTTCTTTTCCATGTAAGTATTCAAAAAGTTTCAGCAGAATCTATCATTTTTTGACCTCACCAACCAACTGAATAAATGTGCATTATATTTGGTCCGGAAGCAAATGGAATTTTTTAGGATCTTTGTGTTCATTTTCAGGTTCTTTCATGTTCATTCACGGGGAAACATGAGGACGGCCATGGGGGCGGCGCCTAAAAGACACCCAAATGGCCTAAAAGAAACCATGCTTCCTCCATTACCTACATCAATCATTTCTTGCCAAACTCATGTTTTTTTTTATTTCACTTCAACAAATCAAATTACTCACTATTATCATGTGTTTACCAAGATTTTAACCATATTACACATACTAAATCAACCCTTCACGTTGATTTGATATGAAAATTTTGATCCATGTCAAATTGTTGCTAGTATTCAGCTCCATCCAATGCTATTATGCAAGGATAGGGGGAGGAGGAGGTGGCTTTGCAACACTAGAATTCTTTGAAGTTGGGCCAAACTTTTGAACAAAGAATTTGAACCATGAAGTTTGGTCATGCATGGTGACAAAAGCCACAGTGTGAGTGTAGGACAAGGAGGACAATGGCCCATTGATTGATAGATTTGAATCTTTCTTGGAACTATGTATTTATAAGATTAAGTGTGAGTTGATGTTTAATTAGATTATTGATTGTTTATTCGAATTCATGAATATTAGTTAGATTAGAAGAATTGATGTATTTTTTGGGAGGAATATGCTAGTTGCTTAACATAACATTCCCCAAACTCCTATTCTTCAATAACCGGAATAGAGTATTTAACTGTTGAGAAATCGTCTTCAATTAACACAATCCTTTATCTTTTGGGTCAATCTTCAAGATACTACTAATCTTTCCACTGTTAACTCTTTCAATCCTACATTTTATCTTGTTGTTCCACGTTTAGTTAACCCTTAGTTTTGAATTCTTGGCTTCACCTCTTATCAAAACGGCATCGTCTCAACCATGTGCTTAACTAATCCTCAGAGTTGAGCTTGTTCATTCGTTGGGCCAAAAAAACATTTTCAGCCCGTCACTTGCATGAAACAAATAACTGTAGAAAAATCCCCTTTCCTTTGTTGGTTGTAAAAGTGCTACTTAGATCGGGTAATCTGAATCCAACTAACAAAAAATAGTTTTCAGATTGAAATTTTTAGGATTAGGGTTGAAAAACTTTAACTCGAATTGCATTCGAATAAAGCTTGGGTTAAGACGGGTTTAATCCGAACACAACCCGAATTCATATATTATATTTATATAAATAATATAAAAATAAAATATAAATACACATCTTTTTTGTAATTATTATTATTATTATTATTCAAAGAGAGAGTGAAATGTAATCTATAAGGACTATTGATGGTGAAAGAAATTTATACAACCGATAGAGGATAAGTAAAAAAAAGTAAAAGAAAACAAGTAGAGAATTTCTGTAATAATGAAGAAAACAAATTTCCTTGTGAAATTAATGAAACTTCTTGAAGAGAGGAAATTAATTTCGTAATAATTGAATCCTCCTCAATCCTCATTCCTTTCAAATTTTTTTTCCCCCATTCGTTCATTTTGAAATGTACAAAAGAGACCCTTGGTAATCAATCTGAGTGGATAATCAATCCATTTTTCAAACTTCTTTCTCACAAGTATAGAGGTGTTTTTGCTCACCTTGGCAAAACTCAAACGACACCTTTTCTTTCTATATTACTATTACATATCCCTCAATAACATACATGCTCCAATATTCGCAAACAGATTGTTTATACAGGTGAACCACTTGGACTTAATACAATGGTTGGGTGGTCAGCCTGCTTGCCTTCAGGCAGATATGGCAAGGTAGCCACTGTATAAATTATTAGGTAACATTTTTTTAACAAAAATAGAGCTACATACATCGACACCCTTAATAAGAAAACACGATTTCATCCGCAAGCTATAGGCGTAAATATAGATACCTCCATTCATGAGCCTGGAATCCAAATTGTAGCGACTCGCTCTCTGTCAATTAAACATATAATCGTTGAGAGATGGTAATGCCACTTGCCTGGTGCATAATCTCTGCAAAGTGCAGCTTCAAATTCAAGCTTATATAAGGCCTTAAATATATGTGAAGACAAACTATGGCATGAGAAACATACGCTCATTTTCCTGGAAATACAAATCGTAATCGTTCTTTTTGTCGATTTAGAATCCGATCTTTGGGAGATGATGTCTTTACAACACCTGCCTGACGTATCATCTCTGCAATAATCCGTTTCAATTGTCATGCATCAGAAAGGGCTAAATATTAAAGTCAATGGACATTTACCCCCCATTCACAGATATAACCATACAAATCACAAAAACTTGACAGAATTTCAATGTCTGCAAACATTGTCCTTCCAACAGAAACACCAATACTACCGTATTTTTTTTGTAAACCATTTCCATACAAGTCTTTTAAGTTTTACAGTACCAGACGATAATTGGAGCTCACTGTTCTCTTATTTAAGTGTAGCAATTCAATAAGTAAACGATAAACAAAAAAACTCACAATTCCAAGACTTGGAATATAAAAAGCTAAGGCTAAAGTTCACCATGGACAGTAACCGAGTGTGAAACTAGCAGGTTTCATCGCAAACAACAGAGATGACATTTACTTTAAACTATATGCAGGAAAGATAAAACTTGCCTCTTTTCCTCTCAAGCTCCTCATCAAGCTCTTCTTTCCATTTTCTTTGCCTCTCAGAGAAGCTTGAGCTATCGATAGAACATTTTCCAATCTCAAATTACAAAAGGGAACAGAATTTATTAAGGAAACATATGTTTGAGGAAATGTGAGACATCAATTACAAACCTTGGACTAATGGGATCTGGCTGAGAATCAAGAAGATCATCCTTCCATTCACTAGGCTGAGACGACTGAATGTCCTGAGTATTTTGATGGTTTAAACCACCCATGTTTGATAGACGTTTGGGATGACTACCAGAACTTGCAGTGTAGGCAAGATCAACAGCTGCAGAGAGTCTTCTGTTTGGCACTCGATTGGGTGACCTGCTTTTGGGAGGTAGGTTCAAATTATTTGGAAGATTTTCTTTGTTTGCAGTTCCAACAGGACTTGAAGGACCAGCAGCATTCAATGAATTGTAAAATTCTTTATATAGAGGTGACTGCAACTTCTTCAAATCTAAAGCCTGAAGTAGTTTACAGAGCAAATGAACAAAGCATGATTTCTATTTCACTAAAATCCTTAAAATATAGCAGAAGGAAAATTTAAATACTTCATGATCGTCGAAAACTCTAAATCAAATGGCACCTTTTCATCCAGGAAGGCTCTAATTTTCGACTCGGTAACTTCATCATCATCCTCAGCAGCTAATGGCCCACATGGAAATGTGAAGTCATTATCCCCTGTACCAGTTGCTGCCGGGCTCTCACCAGGCTTTTTAAGTATTTGACAATGAAATAAGTTCATTTTACTTTTCTCCAACTTCATTTTACTTTTCTCCAACTCTGGACTTTCATCGAATTTGCATGGCCAATCATCATTGGGCTCGGACATAGGATTGAAACTCTAAGTCAAGCAAATTAATGAACCTCACTCATTTGTATTACAACATTCCAAGAATGCAAACCTCATCTAGAGAAGGACATGCAAACAAATTGTTACCTTGTTAAAATCAGTGGAAAGTAAAGCAGAATTGAGCTTCATTGATTCATCAAGCATAAGATCATCTTTATCATCTATCTGACACATGTCATCATCATAGTTGCTTGATGTCCAAATGGACCCTCTTCGTGAGATCTTCTCAGAATGTATAGTTGAGCTTCTCACACTACCCATGTCACAAACATCCTTGAAGCCACTGCAGGTTCTCCTGATATCAGAGTTCATGCTGCATCATGAATGCAAAAATTAAGAATCATTGATATGTATAACTGACAATGATATATCCAAAAAAATATCAGAACCCAACAAATGAAATACTTACGACTTCTTAAGGTCCACCTCAAGTGCAGCCATCCGATGGCCAGAATTGTCCTGTCAATGATAAGATTACTTGGATCAACGGCAGAATAGCAAAGAAAGATTATAGAATCAAAATGATGAGTACTTCAAGCAACTACTGACCATGACTGAAGTGCGAAAAACAGGATGGTTTTGCTGATACTCTCCCGTAACAAATGGATGCTGCAGATAACCATTAAACATATTAAACATCAACAGATAACAAATTAGTTTATTATTTTGCATATAGCTATCATCCAAAGAGTTGCACGAATGCATAAAAAGCATGTAGTTAGTATCCACACATGCAGACTTGCAGTTGCGTTATGAGATTTTATGGCTTAATCTGTAAATAGTAAAGAAAAATAATCTGCAATGCAGACTTACGTTTAGCAAATATGATGCAGCTGGCCTTAAATATGGTTCCCTGCCACAATATTTTGGTTATTGAAGAGTTAGAAAAGGCGAGGTAACAGAAAGAGGAGCAAGCATAAAGCATCAGTTTGTTGATTTTGTTATCAGCATAATCCAACTAATGTTCAAATAATAGTTGTTGGTCATTTGAAGGGGGAAGAGTTAGAGCAGCAGATGAAACAAGCATGAATAAGATAAATCAAGAATGTACTTCTGTAAACAGTTTAATAAAAAATCCTTCGCCTCAACGGAGAGATGCTCGGGGATGGGTGGATGCGCTTTTGTTGTCCCTATATGGAAGAGAGCAGCGACCTGAAAGCAATAGCTATAATTATTGCATAAATAAATGGAATGATACCACACAATGTTGTAATATTAACCTTGCAAGTTACAAGATATGTACCTCTTGATACTGCTGACTCCAAGGAGGCTTTCCAGTAGCCATCTCAATAACAGTACATCCCACACTCCATATATCAGCAGAGCTAAGAATTTTACATCAGAAAACTAGTGAGCCTGATGATCATATTATAACAAATCTAACAGTATGGTGAATCTGTGTTCAGTTAAACAAGCAAGGATGCACTGTGCCAGTGAGAAGAGTGACATGTAACAGACTGACAGTGGTGCTAGGGTGAAGGAAAAAAGAAGAATAAAGAGAGATAGTATAAAAAAGACATAGAACCGTGAAATTTGACTGCAGAATAGTGAAGTGGAAGATTTATGTAGATCCTCCGATGCCAGGGCAACATTTTGGACTTTGACCAAATAAGTGGAAGCATCTACTAAATTGAAGAGTGAACATACCGCTCCAGTTAAACTGTAGAGCAAAATTTGTGTAACATTCTTCCTTATGCTATTGTACTACCTTCAAGGTTCAAAAGATCACTTAGAGCATAAGCCTATGGTAACCTACTGGAGCTGTGGGAAGGAAGCCATTCCCATCTACTAAAAAAGTTATGACAAATAAGACAGTTATAATTAAAGACTGTTTAAGTAGCAAGTCGACCAAAATTACAATTGCTCAGAAGTAAGCATTATGTTGTATTGGTGTACTCACAAGCTATGCCCAGTCTGGAGAATAACTTCAGGAGCCATCCAATAAGGGGTACCTTTCATAGACTTGGCACCAGTTATAGTAGCCTGTAGCAACAACACAAACCTCAGTTGTGATGGAATATTATGACAACAGTGACACTAAAAATAAATCAAAAATTCAGGTGAAAAAATAAATAAATAAAAACAAACTGAGTTCCTATTACTTCCTACCAGCTCAACAACTTTCTTGGATGCTCCAAAGTCTGCAAGTCTAATGCACCCTTTGTTATCAACAAGGATGTTTGCCCCCTAAACAAAGCAAGTGTGTTACCATGAGAGAGAGAAAGAGAGAGGGTGATACATATGAATCTTTCTGCTCGGTAAAAGCCATTTGTACAAAATTTAAGGTACCTTGATGTCCCTGTGCATAATTCCATTCTTGTGAAGGTATTCCAAGCCCAATAACAGCTGCTTGGTGTACATCCTAATAACCTGATTAACAACCAAATTGATGGGGAGTTTCAGATTTCAAACACCAACAATATATGTTCTGAGAAGTAGTATTCAAAGTTCCAACAGTAGCTGTTTTCAACACATTCTCATAACCTTCTTGATAAAGAAGTTTCAGAAAATTTTTGACACAAAAAATGGCAAATCATTTACTTCCAAAAGCAGCCATGTGCCAAAAGAAAGCTAATCGATGAACATTCATATGATAACGTAAATGGTTATGGGAGAGTTTTTAGTTTTTAACGTTCCCAAATTCGACAATTCACATGAGATAAATCACTTACAGACTCAGGGAAGGATCCAAATTTTCCAAGGAGTGAGGAGATGGATCCACCAGGAACAAATTCCAATAAAATATTCAATGATTCCTCCTCCCTGGCAGTTCCCAAATATCTCTGAGAAACAAAACCAAACCAATCAGAGCAAAAATATACAGACATTCGCCCAATTCGCAAGATTAAAAAAATATAGCACTGACAACTATGTTTGGATGGGAGAGATTCTTCAATAGCTTCACTTCTTCCTCAAGCTCCCAAATGTGAGCCTATCAAAATTCAAAAGCCAATAAACAATTTCAGCCAATAGCCTAGAAAACTCTTGTATGAACCCATCAAATAACCAACTTTGCAGCCTTGAAGAACAAGATTACAATTTTTTCCCACATGAACAATGCATATAGGTTCAAACCACTGCCCAGCGCTAATTGCACAATGCATGTGTGTAAGAAAAAAGCATTAGAGAATCTACAGTCAAATTCCAAAAAATTTAGCCTCTCAGCATATGAAGATAAATAGTAAACTTGAGTTACATTCGAAGAATATATGAACAGCACTGATGTTGGAAACTGAAAATACAAAGCCACAAAATTTATGCCATAGACACAATAGTTCAAATAAGATAGTAGAAGTATCCAGACCATAAGTAACATAAATTAAAAGAAAGTAATCTATTATCACTACAAAATTCACCAACTTATGTGGCGAATTTGCATAATAAAGATGCTTCATAAGAATTAACTAAATCCGAGCCTTCACCTGTGTTTTTTCCTTGGAAGCACAATTCCCTGCAATTGAGACCTACACAATTAAACACCAACAAATCAAATTAGACGAGTAAACAAAAAACAAAAATAAGTAGCAAAAACAATTCAAAAATCTTAAGAATCAGATTTTACCTCTTTGACAGCAAGTAGCTCTCCAGAATCAAGATTCATCCCCATATAAACCCTACCAAACGCACCACACCCGATCAATTCCCCTTTTCTCCACCGGATTTGCGGTGCCTCGTTTTTTTTCACACTCACCGCTTCGGATTTCGCAATCGGAGGCAACGCAGGGAATGAAGGCTTCGAGAAGAGCCCGATCCTCGATTTTCTCATGCTCGAACCGATTTTTTCGACAAATCCACCGAAGCCACTACCAAGTCCACCATTATCTTCGGCTCCATTGGAGGGTTTGAAGACTAGAGATCGACGAACTGAGCCGATGAAGTCCTGCATTTTCGGGGTGCGAGTGTGATTCTGTGAAAACTGAAAACTTTGGAACTGATAAGCGAAAATCTAGGGTTCCCTGAGTTTCATTTCTGTGTGAGTGAGGTGCTGCGAGACACAGAGAGAGAGAGAGAGAGAGAGAGAGAGAGGAGGGAAAAGGTATAGGGCTCCGTTTTTGAAAAATAAAATAATTCGAGAAATAGTTTGACTAATTTTCGCTTTATGCCCACTGTGTTCGGGATTTTTGGTTTGTAACCCCTGTAGTTACTGTGTTTTATACTTTTACCATTTGATTTAAAAAGCCTTGGCGCATGAATTATACGACATTATCATCGTCACCACATGGTGTGACCAATTAATAGTAATAAACAAATAAGATAAGTGAATCCCAATTATCATACGTGAAACTTTTGAATGTAAAAATTACTAGTGGTTATGCAATTTGGTGAAATCTACCGGTTTTAAATGGTTATTTATAATTAGTCGATTACACATGTGACGATGACGACATAGTAAAACCATTATATTGAATATTTTCTCCTTTATGAGATCACCGTACCTAAACAAATCAAAAGGAAAACAAATTATTGATTTAGAACAATCCCAATATCATATTCCATTGAGTCATTAGTTCTATGTAAAATCGAGATGCATCAAGTTAACCTGAACATCGATCTCTTGCAAGATCAAATTAAAAGAATATTCTAAAAGATTCAAAGAACTTCAAGTTAAGTTTACAAAAAAAAAAAAAAAATAGAATACTTTTTCCACTATATGCGAGTGTAATGGTTTATGACATTGCTTATGTTTCTCCATTTTCTTGAAATTATGGTCAACAGTATCTGAATCAGTTTATACGTATATCGATTAATTTCTTTCCCAGTTAAGAATCAAAATTTCGTTTCGGTGCATTGTTTCGATCACTTAGGAAATTGAAACATTTTGACATGTTTCGGAAACGTTTCGAAAATAGAATAGAAAAAAAAAATTAAAAATTATTTTTTCAAAATATTAGTCAAAATATACCAATATCTTGAAATACTTTGAAATATTCTAAAACAATTATGTAAATGCATTAAAATATAATAAAATATTTCAAAATAATATAGAATACCTAAAAGTATTAAAATTTTGATTTCATCACTAATTCATTTTGGTATCCTTGAAAACAGAACATTTCGAATGTTTTGATCGTTTTGAAACGATATTTTGATCCTTGTTCCCGGTCCGGTTAAAGGAAAGTTAAAGAATTTTTAGTCTATGTTTCACCAAAGAGCATAAAAATCCTCCTGGCCAAGGTAGCAAGTTGTAGAAAATTCCTTGATTCGTAATTACAAAAACAATGAGAGGACATTTCTGTAAACACACAATAGATTTCTTTTTAAGGGTTCACATGAATACAAAACGAAAAATTGGTGGATGCAATTAAATTAGGATAACGTGGCTCAGCCCACCAGTAGCATGCATTCCATGTAAGCATACTCTCAGAAGTCAAGAGTCCTCTTCTTCCCATTAGTATCCTTCTAACTTTACCTGTGCTCTTTACAATTCAAAACTTTAATATAAATAATTAAAATTCAATTTTCTCTCTCCTTGGGTTTCGGAGAAAATGGCAGTATCGGCGGATGGCCGGCTTGCGTTGTCGGCTACCGGAAAGTTGCATGGCACTGGTGGATTGGCAGGTAGAGTAAACTGGAGGATTGGGAAGTTCTGTAATGGAGAGTTGATGGGGAAGAAAATGAAGTTGAACCAACTTCATCTAAAGGCTAACAACAATAGTGTTAGACCTCATGTATGCATGTCCCTTACTACTAGTGTTGCAGCTGAGGCCAAGGTGAGTTCTTGCTTTGCTTAGGTGAGCTCATTTTAAATTTTCAATTCATTGGAGTTTCTTTTTAAGCCTTAATTTGTTGTTTATTGAATTAACATCTAACATGGATTAAAATTCGTCGGGGTATAGTCTAACGGGAGTGAAACCAACTTCCGAATTCTAGTATCATAACAAGTTTGGCAAATCACAACTATCATTGTGATTTCAGCGTTTGAGACGTTTGTCATGAACTTCGCTTATTTCTATAATCCATATGCATAGACCTGCCACAGGGCCACTAGTATGGCAAACAAGTCCAGTATCTGGACTCTTTCTATTTATAGGCAATGTTTCTACACACCAGAGATCACCATTCTTAATGCCTATTAATGGAAATGCAAGAGATAGAAGGAGACTAAAATTAACGCAAAATAACATTTTAAAAGAGAATATGTTAGTAATTTGACAAAGAAAAATGACTTCCGATAGAACAAAATGCCGAAACAAAGTTCAAATACCCCCATCTCTAAATAGTTAAGAAAATAATATCTTGGGTTGAGCTTGAGTTCACGTTATGTGCAGTTGAGGGACTTGGACATGGAAAAAAAAGACCCAAGGACGGTTGTGGCAGTCATACTCGGAGGTGGTGCTGGTACCCGTCTTTTCCCTCTCACAAAACGCCGGGCCAAACCGGCTGTAAGCTTTCTGCTTTCTTTCTTTTAGCAACCTTTGTACAAAATGGGGAATTAAGGTTCACTTTGACTCTGGGTTATGACGTAAACTCGGGATGCGTGCAATGACCCACAAAATCATGTGTATCGAGTTACTATCTCCTATTACAGGTTCCCATTGGAGGAGCATACAGGCTGATTGATGTGCCAATGAGCAACTGTATAAACAGTGGGATCAACAAAGTTTATATTCTCACTCAGTTCAACTCAGCATCACTGAACAGACACCTTGCTCGTGCTTACAACTTTGGCAGTGGTGTTACATTTGGAGATGGCTATGTTGAGGTACATTTTTTATTTGTTTTTCTCTCTCCTATATGCATACCTGTATGTTGTATGTATCGTTTCTCTCGATAGTTTAAAAGAAAATCTTTGGCAGGTTGTATGATGTATGTATCAATTCAATCATACACTGTTGATCCATACATGATCAAATGATTTTGATCTGTTGCAGGTTCTAGCAGCCACTCAAACTCCTGGTGAAGCAGGTAAAAGCTGGTTTCAGGGTACTGCAGATGCAGTACGACAATTTCATTGGCTTTTCGAGGTACCCAACAATATTTTACTTGCATTCGCAACTACATTCATGTAAAACATGTGATTAGTAAATTACACAACAATACATTTGCATGCCCAAATATCTACTTTTCGGGTTACCTTTTGTTTACGTTGATCATGTCCTCGTGTATTTTTTGCAAAATTTTCAAGGGAAATGTCAACTTGCACAGTAGAACAAGTTGGCAAGGCAGAGAGATCAATCAATTATGAATGGACACTGAGTTTCAGCAAAATCAATCAGTCTGCTCAAATTGAAGTACTATGCTTAGCACCTCTTAAACTGAAAAGAACCTGTTTACAACTTACTACACAGCTACCACCAAATGTTGAAAATTTTGTCTTTCGATTAGCTACGTTTACATTATCTCCAGAGTACTTTTACATATCTTTCGTAAAACGCCTCGGACTTCATTCATCAATTTGCATTACATGTCTACTATGCACAGACATCTAAAAATGCAATATCAGCCCTCTTCTTTTCCAAGTCCAGTTGATTAGGATAGGTTGTAAGTGAGGACATAAAATGTATGGTTAATGCAATGTTACTTATCATTCTGCAGGATGCAAGAAGTAAGGATATTGAAGATGTGCTTATTCTATCTGGAGACCACTTGTATAGGATGGACTACATGGATTTTATTCAGGTAAGACGACAAAGTTCACTTGATGTTTTTCTTTAGATGACTTCGTTTATTCACTGACAAACGTATTATTCCTTTGTAGAATCATCGACAAAGTGGTGCAGATATTTCTATTTCTTCTCTGCCAATGGATGACAGGTAGCTTATTCTTTCTCCACCATCACTCGGCTTTCTATCAGCTCCAACTCTGAAATTATAAACCTATGGAATTCAAACAAACCTATTAAGCATGACTTCAGGTTTCTTCAGCCATTTCTTCATTTAAAACGAAAATTTCTTCATAAGAATGTTTACATTCCCACACACCAACTTCGTTGCTTAGGGTTTGAACATAATGACAGAAACAAACAAGCAATATTGATCCTCAAGAATCATGACTTGAAGTTTGAACTCTGTAGGATAGGCTATTCTCTGTTTGCTTTTACTTCTTTTTTTTTCGGAAGGTAAAGTAATTTGCTTTTACTTACTTACCAGGCTTTAACGTTATACTAATAATTTGCAATTGACTCTATTTTAGATTTGCTTTGTTTTGTATAACATAGGTTTTTGCATCAATTATTACATTTGAGTTTCACTTATCAGAAGTATGCATCTTTTTTTTTATCTTTCCATGATAGCCGCGCCTCAGATTTTGGTTTGATGAAGATCGATGGTAAAGGGAGGATCCTTTCATTCAGTGAAAAACCCAAAGGAGATGATTTGAAGGCAATGGTATACTCAAGTTTGTGCAAAATCCTCTCAAAGCAGAATGGTAATAAGAATGTTAAGTGACAACTGCAGTTAATCTTGTTGAAACACTTAACAGGCAGTAGATACGACAGTTTTGGGACTGTCGCGTGAAGAGGCTGAAAAGAAACCATATATTGCTTCTATGGGGGTCTATGTCTTCAGGAAGGAGATACTTCTTAACCTCCTAAGGTAAACTGGCTTGTGATATGGAATTGGCAATGCATTGAAGATGATGTTTTTTAGTGAACTACAAATAAAAAGTGTTGTAAAGAAGGCAAAAAGAGAGAAAAAGATTTCAATATAGTTCATTTATTGATGGGTATTAGAAGAGAAGAGGAGGAGCATGTAGAACAATAAGCTACCTCTGTTTCTTTACTTTCTGCTCATCATGCTCCTAAGAACTATATGGAAATTTAAGTACTGTGTATTTTTGTTGAGTCAGATGGCGGTTTCCAACTGCAAATGACTTTGGATCAGAGATAATCCCTGCCTCAGCCAGAGAGTTTTTCATAAAGGTTAGCATCTAATCTTGTCCACGTGTGTTTTATTTACCGACTGTAACATAAATATGTGAATTCGTTCGCAGATATGTTTATCTTAACAATACTTTAAGCATATCTGAGTTCAGAACCTATGAGGGAGCTATCTTCTTCCTATTTGATTAAGTATGAAATTTAGCCTTCCTATTGTGATTTAATGGATGCAGGCTTACTTGTTCAATAATTACTGGGAAGATATTGGAACTATCAGATCCTTCTTTGAAGCAAATCTTGCACTTACAGCACATGTAAGTATCCAAACAACTGCAGGTTTATCAGTATGCTTTTAAAGTCGACATCAAAGTGGTAGTAGACATGTAAACCAAGTAAATGTAGCCTTCATGCAACTGATGATACAGCGATTTATTAAGCTGTGATTTCCAACATAGGTAACAGAACATGCGAAAAAACTAAATATTATGACATTAAAACTGAAGTGCTACCTTCCAACAAATATGCTATAAACATGAAAGACTGGTTCTTATTGTCCCCTTTTTTCTTTTCAGCCACCAAGATTTAGTTTCTATGATGCAACAAAGCCAATGTACACATCTAGAAGGAACTTACCACCTTCAAAGATTGATAACTGCAAGGTTAGTGAATCTCAGTGTCCTCAACTAGTTTCTGAAACTTACTTCTGTCGCGTGTATAGATTAGACTGTGGAAGTACCTCAGCAAAATCGAGCCATGAATTGACTTTATCATGTGCAGATTATTGATTCAATCATATCACATGGCAGCTTCTTAACGGATTGCTTCATAGAGCATAGTGTTGTTGGCATCCGATCCAGGATAAACTCCAACGTTCACCTAAAGGTTTGTGTTTTGAATTCTGGTGCTCAACCATTCTGGAACTCCTAATTGAAGATTTTGTGTATTCACAGGATTGCATAACAAACTTGAGATCATTAAAAAACCACCTTATTTGTGAAACATTTTTTTGGGTTACTTGCATTGTGCTAGAGCACTATTTTTTTCTTTTTCATTTAGGATATGATTGTAGTTTCCTCATGCAATATAAATATGATGGCCAAATGAATGCAGGACACTGTCATGCTTGGGGCCGACTACTACGAAACTGACGTTGAAGTTGCATCACTGATAGCTGAGGGAAGAGTACCTACTGGGATAGGAGAAAATACAAGAATCAAGTACAATTCAAAGCTCTCTCCTTTTAAGTTCACTAACCTATATTAAAATTGTTGTCTAGATTTTCCAAGTCTTACTTGGCTATGTTATGGTATTATGCAGAGACTGTATCATTGACAAAAATGCAAAAATCGGAAAGAATGTTGTTATTGCGAACTCAGAGGTACGTTTCTTCATATGGTTTATAGAAGATTTTGATTATACACAAGTACCTTTAGTACCATTCAACTTCCCAACTCTCAACTCCTTGTGGCAATATAGGAAGTCGTGGTACAATCATTAGCTACATAAATTCATATATTATCCCAAGAAAAGAGAGGGTTGGCAGTTACACCCATCAGGAGCCTGGGATGGGAAGACCAAAAGCGTTACTAGTGTGAGGTCCCAAGCTCTCGCATGAAAACCCTGGTTATCCAATGTGCGTGGTTTTGCGGATTATTGCACGCATCTGAAGATTATGTTCTAACCACGAGTCTAAAAGACAAGTTAGGACGGTTCTCTTTTAAAAATGGCAGTTACAAATACACACACAACCCCCCCCCCCCCCCCCCCAAAAAAAAAAAAAAAAAAACTACTTTGTGTCTTTTATTTTAGTTTCTTTGGCAACCTAATATCTCTCATATTCTAAGTAAGGTTTAAACTTCAACCCCATGTGGTAGCAGTGGAAACTGACAACTGCTTCCTATTTGTGCATGGATCTGCAGGGTATACAAGAAGCTGATAGATCTTCAGAAGGGTTTTACATCAGATCAGGCATTACAGTCATACTAAAAAACTCAACAATCAAAGATGGATCTGTGATATGACAAGTATGCACAAAGTTTTGGTCCAGATTGACTAATTAGGCCAGGAATCAAGGAAATAACTGCGAGATACAATAATTTTTATTAATGGCAGGAAAATGCAACAAGTTTGAAATGATTCCAAGTTATATCCATCATGTGAAATGCACATTTTTTTCTTGATGGTTTGTATTAAGGCATTGTACTTTTCCAATGTGACTCTATTTCTTGAGATTTTGGGAGCAAATCAAAGGGTCAAGCATAAAAAAGGAGAAAACTATTAATTTGGAAACTCAAATGAAGATGAAGGGAATCACTAGAAATTCTTCAAAAATGAAGCTATGGTGGTTTTGACATGGCATCTTACATGAGCTCATTTATTTTGCATAGCATTTTATATTTTCTGTAAACATATAGCATTCAATCCTGTAAAGAACCTTTCTTATTCTAATGGTAGAAGAGGGAAAAAAAAAGAGTATGAAGCTCTCAATAATTGATGCGGGTGGTGAGACTAGCTAAATTTCCTATAATTTTGATAACTTAAAAAAAATTAGAGAGTGAAACAGAATAATCTGATCAATTTGGGAAGGTTACCTACCACTTACCTGTCCCACACCCCTCAAAGAGCCTAGTACCCTAAGTACAACATTATCTTTTTCTTTTCCTTTTTGTTTAGGTCATTTCCCCTTACATATTATAATTAGTTTTTTCATGTTTGCAATTTGGACAAGGGTCTACTTTGAGAGACTTGTACTGGAAATGGTTAAAAAGCACAGGGAATACTTAGTTTTTTTTTTTTTAACTTCCCTTGGAATTTTTTTTTTCTCGCAGGGAATATAGTTACTTCAAGAAGAATAGTAATACCAACTTTGTATAAATCTGAAATTACTCCTAGATCTACATAAACTTGTCACAATGAAACATTAGCTCATTTTCAAATCTCTGCAACACAAAGCGCTCCTCTGATCTTATAACACTGGTAACAATACATTTAGTGTCTGAGAATGGTTTCCTACCTGTCCTTCCAGCACGATGAAGATAGCATACAGCATCTTTTGGAAGATCAAAGTTGTATATATGGGTTGTCTCCGGCAGGTCAACACCTCTTGCTGCTATGTCTGTTGCCACCAGAAGATAGCCTCCTCCTTGTCTAACTTCCTGTATTTCAAGGAAAACGGTAAAGATGCTTTATCTCACACAATCTGCAACCTTTTCTAATGGCAGATAGAACAGATACGTCTAAACATCAGGGAGCTGAACAGTACTTACAGATAAGGAAGCTGCTCGTTGATTCAAATTCATGTCTTCCTCCAGAAGAAGAATGTCTGAACATCCCATATGAGAAGCCTTCAGAAAATTAATTAATAGAGTTGCGGGTGAAGCATCTCCAGCCTTCTTTGACTTTTCAGACTGCATTATAAATTGAGATATGTATGAGAAGTCATTATAAATGCCAAGTTTCAGCTTTCAACTAACAAAACAAGACAAACGTAAAATTCTTTAACTAGCCACATGAACATCAATCCACTATAATACAAATTACTAACTTTAACGGTTCAAATGTTGTTTCTTTTAGCAAAACTTCATTGTGCCCGAGGTGTGCACCACAACCCTATATATGCTACAATAATTAGGGTTTTTACCTAGTTATTTTCTCCCATTTCGATGCCTCCCCCCAATTTCGGCTTATTTGTGTGAGGTGTAGACCACAAAGAAGATAGTTACCAGGGTTTCAACCTAGTTTGATTCTAGAAATCAGCATCACCTTGCCCTTCTCACTAAGAGTTCGATGTCAGTTATTACCAGTCCACATGATGCTTTCTCGTGAAGAATCTTATCGTAGTTTCTCCAATAATGTTTATGCTGTTGAGTGGCAGTAGAATTTAATTAGGTCTGAATTCAAATAATTATCATGCTTGCTACAACCTTTTCATGCTACACATCACTACAGATCAAAAATACACTGAAACCGGATAATGGCCAGAATCAAGATATCAATCATTCTAACTTTACTACTTAAAGAGTGTTGTCTGCTCAGTCTAAAGAAAACTAAACACTAAAATTTGATGGGTGGAACTAACCTGCACACCAACAAAAATTATGGCACACTGAGGTGCATCAGACTGCAGTAACGATAGCAAGGCGGTATGCCTCTCTTTTTTGCCACATATCTGAAAAGCAACAAAAGGATTAGCATACTACAAAACTAAAATTTGAAAACAATGAGATCAAAGAAAATAGTTGCTCTAAAAATGGCAACAGATATAAATAAAGAACGTGAATGTGCAATAGGAGAAGAGAAATACAATGAAAAAAGTGCGTAAGTTCCACGACTTAAAAATTGTCTCACCACAAATCTATGATGTAGGCTTGACGGCATTGGCTCAATGGGGTTGACATGAACATGAACAACATCAGCCTGTCGTAATCATTGAAATGAATATGTAAGTCATACAATCAGCTGCAGATTGTATCAAACCCAAGCATAGATAGACATGAAAACATCAATTTTATCACCAAACCTTGGTCCATTTTTGCTGTATACAGTCATATAAGAATCGTCTATGTTGGGGGATTGATGCACTAGCAAAAATAGTTTGACGATGATTGCTTGACGAGTATGATGTCAAAAGCTTTCGAAGAGAACCAACTTGTTTTGAAGAATTGAACATGAAGTCAACCTACAAGAACAATGAACATATGATGCCCACCCCTCCACTGAAATTATCAGGAGAAAGACGCTTTAATTGTAAAGTTACATTCTACAATTATGAAAAGCAAATTAAGACTAAATTGACCTGTTTAAATGAATGTAAAACCATCTCCCCTTTCTTCTTTTTGTAAGAAAATGCTCGCTCATCTCCCTTAGAGCTTTACGACAAAGATTTGATACTTTTTTTTTCCTGATTTCTAACTCATGAATCATATGATTAAAGGAATTCATTTTCTAAAAATCAATATTCGATAGTCCAAAAGCTTTCCAAAAAACATTCTTCTAACAACTTCTAAAAAAAATTAAAGCACATTCAACTTTTTAAAGCGCTAAGAGAAGGAACATCCAAGGTATGGTGCTAGCAGCAGAAGACTAATACCACTTATTTGCAATGAATACTCTGCCTACTATAGAAAGTTGAAGTTACAAACCTATGCCCAAAGGGCTAATACTGAAAATAACAGCCCAATAACAGATCAATGCAAGTAATAAAGGGTCAACACTAAAATGAATAGCCAAATAACAAACATGATATGAAAGTGCAATTGAACTACCTCATCAATTATGAGTACCCGCAATGTTTCTAGCTTAAAAATTTGCTTCTCAACCATTTGGCACAAACTCCCCAGAGTTGCAACCACTATAGTAGGGGGCTCCGCCTGCAACAATAAAGGCATTTCAGAAATATGTTTGTAGAGTACAATATTATATTACCAATACCAAAGTTTTCCTTCAAAGGACAAAAACTGAAATTGCATAAAGCATGGGAGGAAGAGAAACAGATGAGCTTCGGCACAACGAGGGAACCCCAGAAAGCAAAAGTTTGGATGCCAATGTCAAACTGCCTTTTTGCATTTTCAACTGTTAAGTTGATTTTTAATGTATTGCCTCTTACAGTGGCAGCAGAGCATACTGGAAAAGGAGTAACTGGTGCACTTTACAGTTGGAAAATAGACATTCTCCCAAAAAATCGTTCCAATAAACTCTGATTTGTGCACCTGAAAAGTGGTGGTAACCTGACTGAATGATCAACATATGACGATCTCTATACTAACCACAAAAAGTTCAAACACTGCAGCATCATTAGACATTAACATTTCTCCACCAGTAGTCCTCTTTTTGGGTAATGTGACAGATCTGTTTTTATCTATATCTATATCTATACTACTAATAAAAGTACCTTAACATGAAAAACTTTTGATTCACTATTTTGCCCTTATAAAAAACTATAAGGTTATCATGTCTTTTTGTATTTAAATATACAAATTTCCATTATATCCCTACATGTTTAAATAACAAATTAATCTCTAACATATCATGCAAAATTCTCTATCTTTGCAAAATTTTTGAATGGTCATGTTATGTTTAACAAGATATATAAAAACAATATTATTCATTTTTCCTAAAACCCCAATATTAATACAAGTTGATAATTTCATTGATACAATATCATTTTTAATGCCCAAAAACGGATATATTTATCTTATTTCTTCATTCATAATCAAAATAATTTGGTAAAAATTACTAGTGCACAAAGTAAAAACTAAAAACAAGAAAGACAAAAGGAAAAAAATTTGTGAAAAGAAAATTTTATAACCCTTAATACCTAGTATCTTGAATGAAATAATCACAAAAAATAAGTCTATTGGATGTTTATAGTTATGAAAAGAATACAAATAATTTAAGTATGTTAAATATGAGATAAAATCTAATGTACCTACATAATCAGATTTTTTTATGTATTTTATTAAATGTTTCAACAAAAATTTTCATGTGCAACGCACGACATGCATTACTAGTAGTAAGCAATAAGTCAATGTTTTACCTTTAGCCAATTCTTATGTCTTCTCAATGTTCCTCCATCTAAAAGAGCCATAACAGTGCATGACTTCATTTCCAATTGAAGATCTTCCGGCTTTGCAGCCAGCACACGAGCAACTTTTGTAACCTTATTTATGAGAAGATCAAAAGATCAGAAAAACACATGTTTTAGGCCTAATAAAAGTTATTTCACAAGTTTGTTTCTCTACGTATTAGATATGCAATATGTTAAATAAGTACATATCAATATTCTTACTTGCATGCCAAGCTCTCTTGTAGGCACTACAATCAGTGCTTGCACAGCTGACCTTTGAGTATTTATAAGCGAATATACAAGTAGAAGGTATGCCAGGGTCTTTCCAGAACCTGTCTAGAGGACCAAAGGAAAGAACAAAAAAAAAACAACTACATTGGCTCTGTCAGCACTTCAGGAGTGGAGCAGGCGTAACTTTACATCTCATATGAGTGTTATGTATGTACTATCCATGATGTAGATAGATTATTAGCCTCTTCATAAAAATGTGAGACATCAAAGTATGAACACATCTATCACGTCATAATCATGCCAATGAAGAAAAATGGTTGATCTCATCATCCAAAAGTTTGCCAGTTTAACAGTATTCTCCTAACAAGAAAAAGTCGAGGGCGACAGAGCCTACATAGTGGGTCAAGCAGCACTGAAACAAACAACACGCATGCAACTGCATCCTTGAAAGAGATGGCAACAACATGGAGCTACGGCAGCTGGTAGATCATTAGCTATATGTTGGACATAATGCTGCTGCTTCTTTTTTTAACAAGAAATGGACATTTGCATGTGTGCAATATAATAGTATGCCTCTACTGACCGAATTCAAGGCTAATTTTTTGCCATCGATTTTATTGCCAGAGAAATTCATAAATATCATTTTTACAAGTCTAGAAATTAATAAAACAATGAACCAAATTGAATAAAGGAGATAATACACCCTAACTTAGAGGAAGTTAGCTCACAAGGCAAAAGTTGACCTGAGCATGAAGTATGCAATCACGGCCAGAAAAAAGGATTGGCAGAGCTTGCTGCTGTACATTCGTGGGCACAATGTATCCAACCTCTTCCACCCTGCAGCATGGGGTGAGCAATTCCATCAACATCATTCACTCAATTCCAATGCAAGCTAATAGTTCCACCATACCCAATTCCATGAAAATCAAAACCTTGTATTTCCCATAGTCAAATTCAATAACTACATAGAATCCACTAAATATCAAGTTTTTTTATATTTTTTCACTGGAGAAACTAATTAATTTCAGTTATGTCAATTTTCTTTTTTTCTGTTCTTTCATTTTCTCAGCAACCAAACGGAAAGTGAAAAACTTGCATTCTCCCAATACCAAATAATCAACTTAGTCAATCCAAAATCAGAAATCTTCAGTAACGCAGTAGACTCCAGTCAAATCAAGGTTTATTCTTTTTTCACTTTTTTTAACTAAAGACAACATGATACTTCAGATACATTGATTTTTTCTCCGTTTTCTCGGCAACCAAACAGAGAGTTCACGGGAAAGAAATTGAAGAAAACTCACCTGCGTAATACGTGGTCGGGCACATGACCTTCACAGAGTTCTCGAAGCGTCGAAGACCTATTTGTTGTATCAGCTTCGTGCGAAAGACAAGAAGAACTGATAGAGGCTCGTAAAAGCTTGTGACCGAACAAAGAATTCACTGTCCGATTCGTGTAGCTGAGAAATAAAGGGCGGGTACAGTTAGGGCTCAAACGGTGAGGAGGACTGGGCTGCACAGAGAAAGTCCATGATAGGAAATACGGTTGAGTTGCGTATAAACACGCCATGGAAGATGTAGGTAGAAGGGTTCACTGAACTGAGATTGGCCCGGGAGAAGTGAGAGAGAGGACAGACAGGTTAGACCATGATAAAATAACAGTAACTTCACCCCCGTTGTTTTGGGTAATATAAATTTAGGCTACCAACAAAAATTTTTTGTAAAAAACTATAATTTTTTATAGTTAAATTATACTTTTAAAAATAAAATTATAATTATTTGGGATAATACAAAATCGATTATAAAATATTGTGAACAATCATAAATATACTAAATCAATTGTAAGTTCAACTTTAAAATGTATAATTTAAACTTCAAAAATTATAATTTTATGTAAAAAATTATAACTTCCACTATTGAAAAATATAATCAATTATATTTTAAAATCTATCAGGGTGATCTACTCTACTCCAAAGGCTACAACGGTGATCGGAGAATTTTATTAAGTAAAAGTAGATGGTGGGGGAGAGAGCAAGGATAAGCTTTAGGATAGGTTGGGTAGTTATGAGAGAGATAGGCGTGCAAAGAGTGTGTAGAGAGATGTAGATGTGTAAAAGGTGTCTCCCTCGTGTATAGAGGGCTAACAATTTATAAGCACAGAGTATTGGTTAAGGTGATGACGTGTGGGTAGGTTACTAGCTTTTCGAAGAGGATGACTATGTCTAGGATGCGTACAATTAAATATAGTGTTTGTGTGACCCGATTATGTATTGCATACATATTAATATAATTATGTGGACTAATTGCAATTATGTGAAATTAATTATTAGATAAAATTTTGGGTGTGAAAATAATATTAGATATGTTTTGGAATCACTTAAGAATTTGGAGAGAGGCAAGTAGAATTATTAAGTTGCATGTAAATATTTTTACACATGTGTCAAACAAAAGGCGATGAGTTATTTTAAAAGTTATATATGTGGGTGTGTGTATGTCAAGTGTTTGTGTGTATCTTAAGGTGTAGTAAAGTGTGTGTGTATAATGCATAGAACAATGTGTGTGTGTGTGTGTGTGTATACTGTAATATTTAGTAAAGTGAATATATTTAAAAGACAAACAAGTATGTGTGTGTGTTCAGGCTGTATAAAACCGTGAGTGAGGGAGAGTAAAGGAGAGGAAGAAGAAAGAAAAACAAAAAGAGAAAAGAAAGAAAGAAGAATTTGGGGGACTCCATGCCAAACCAAATTATAAGAAGGAAACAAGAAGAAGGTAAGGGTGTATGTGTGTGATTAATTTTAAGTATTTGTGCATGTGTGTGGAATTATTTTAGTGTAATTTCAAAGCATATTTTGGTGAGTTTAAATTAAGTGTATTAAATATAATTAGTGGGTTGTTTTGTGTTAAAATAATGGGTTGTTTTATTTTAATTCCAAAACAGATTTTTGTGAGTCTAATTTAAGTGTGTGGAATATAATTTAGTGGTTTTAAATGAGTATTCAATTAGATGTGAAAAAAATGTGAAAAAATGAATATTTGGGTGCTTTAGGTGGCTAGTTGAAATTGAGGTTTTTTTGGTGTAAAATGGAGAGTTCAAGGGTTCAATTAAAGGGTTGATTTGCATGAGTTAGGGAGTGTGAGAGTTTAGGTAATATTGTTTAATAATAAAGTATGAGAAAAATTAAAAATGGGTGCCGGTAATACCGAAATCTTGATTTCTAAATATTATTATCACTGGTATGAAATTTTAATCCACATGATCTAAAATTTTGCATGCTGCATTTTTAATTGATGCGTGATGTGATAATGTAAATTTCAAATGCAAATGAATATAATATCCGGTGCGGAATGTACAAAATGCCGGAAGTGTAGCTTTTTTGATTCGGGGTCGAAATGTGTAAAAATGTGTAGCTTTTTTGCATGGTTAACTATTAAATGCGATAAGCATATTGATATTGTAATTACAAATGTGTTAGGTACAACGGGTGAAACAGTCGGTGTTCGAACTAATACGATAACACCGGAAGGATTCACCGATAGAACCGAAGGGCAATAGATCAGTATATTTGAGGTGAGTGTATATCTTTTATACGTTTTGAAATGCTATTATAAGATGATGTTAGATGATAGGATTTAATATCATTTCTGTAGGATTATGTGTTATGTGCTTCTGTGATTGAATGATGTTTTGTATTGTGTATTGTGCATTGTGTATTGTGTATTGTGAAATATGGCGCACTGTTTGAGACAGGAGCGTCGATGCCTAATCACTGGGCGTGTAGTGGTGTGCTTGCACTGTGGTGTTCCCTAGAGGTTTGGGAGACACGGATCCATGTGGGATGGATTACCCAATGAGGGGTAGTATGGATGTGTTGTGGCTAGTGAATGCTTTAGAATTAGATTGATGTTATTGTTTGATACGTGTATTTATGTAGTATTTACCTACTTCTGTGTATTATTATCATTTTCATTTCATATACGGCATGTATACCCACTGAGCGCGTGGTTTAGCTTACACCCCTATAAACTTCTCCTTTTCAGGTACAAGAGAGAAGACATAGATCAGTCCACTGTCAAAAAGGGTTGTGTTTTGTACAATGTTAGTATGATATTTTGTTCGTTACGTGTTTAGTTTTAAATGAGTAAATGATACTGGTTAAGAGACTATATAATAATTTGTTGGATTGTTTATTATGTTAAATGAGAGATTATTATAGCAGGTTAATAATATATATATTTGTAAACAGACTCAACAGGTATACTTTGTGATGTATGCTATGTAGGTGTGAGATTTTGTATCTGTCTATAACATTGGAAACAAACAATTGGTACAGGTATTATATATGGTACAGGGTATGAGACAGATTTACCATCATGCTTAATAACTAAGGTGATGAGTGGTATTGTTGCACCTGTAAGATTAATTAGTGTGTTATTAATTTAGATTATATACATGTAAACAAGTGTATTAAAAAACCTAGTCGCATCTTATCCTTGGGAGACTGGGATGGGGCGTGACAATTTAGTTGGTATCAAAGCTAGAGTTTATAATTTTGTGGTCGAGTTGAGTCTAACATGACAGTGGACTTAGGGATTGGTCTGTTTAGGTGGGGTGTTAGAAGTATGTGTAAGTGTATAAAATATACATTGCATGTTATCATTACCCATATACGATATTTACATGTTTTACAGTGATACATGGAGGGAGAAGGTTCATCTTCTCGTGCTGGAGATAAGGGAAAAAGACCCCATGTAGAGGAGGCATCAGGTGATTGGGAAGCTAGACAACTGTGGGAAGCAACAGCTAGATACTTTGAGCAACATACAACGTGAGTGAAAACAGTAAGACCCAGGGGTACCTTATACGAGCAGTTTAAAAAGTTTGATCCACCAATATTTACGGGAACTGCAGGTTCGTTAGAAGCAGAGAATTGGTTACGACGCATCGAGAAAATATTCAAGGTGATGGGAGTCGACGAGGAGGATAAATTATTGTTAGCCACTTTTATGCTATCAAAGGAGGCCCAATATTGGTGGGAGGCTATGGAGAGAGCATTGCTGCCAGTGTACATTGAATGGGAGGCCGGTTTAGTTCCTAGAGTTCCCACATGACGACAGTTTACAGATGCTTTTGATAAGAAATATTTTTCCTCGATGTATTGATACCAGAAACAGAATGAATTCCTACATTTGCAGCAGGGGAATCAGCCGGTGATGAAATACGAGGGCAAATTTAATACTTTATCCAGATTTATGCCTTCTGTTGTCACAGATGAGGGGAAAAGATGCAGAAGATTCCAGATAGGGCTAAATTAAAATATTAGATCCCGTACTTTGATGCTAGAGTTAACCACATTTTCAAAATTATATAACAAAGCCCTTATTGTGGAAGCTTATTTGAACGACATGGAAAGTGCAAGTGAGCAGGCAAAAAAGGGAAGAGATGAGCCAAGTGGACAAGGTTCTAAGGGAATTTTCTTTAGTAGATTTTGGAAGGGAATGTTTCCAAATGGTGTAAATAAAAAGAAATCATGAGTCTCATCCCAGAGTCGAGGACAGGGAGTGAGTGGATCATCTTCATTTGCACCGGGTCAAGAGATGGGACAGACTCGGGGGAGTACATGTCACACCCCAAAATTTTTTTTTTCCTTTTAAAAAAAATACTCAGGTGTGACTAAGGAATAAAGTATATCAAACGTACAATAATCTTCCTTATATTATTTTATTTTCCCGTACGAGTACATAATCCTCACAAGATTATTTCAAATATTCTTGATACAACATAAAGAGAAATAATAATAGCAGACTCTATCCTTTCAACCTATCTTCCAGCTTGACTTCATATATCTGAAAAATGTTAAATAGGGATGAGCTCACCAGTTCAGTAGGATAACGTTTATCAATGACTACCAAGGTTTTAAAATAATGAATAATATAATTAAACCGCGAATAAATGCAGGAATAGGGCGAAGTAATGAATCAAATAAATAAATAAATTTCAGCATATATCGATCATATCAATCCATCAATTTTCTGGTCCACACATGAAACCGCCTCCGGAGAAAACTTTGGGGTCTTGCACCCTAGGGAACCCAATGCCCTTCTTGCTTTTCTGGAAACACTAATACTGAAAATTATGTGGTGCCACACAGGCTACCACGACAACCGATATTACTAACCGGTGAACCCATGGACTAGTAGGAATTCTGTAAATTCTCGCAAGGATCACGCATCTACTATCCCTCTTCCCTCGATTATGTGCATTTATAGTAATTTCATCAAAATCACAAAATAAAATCATATCGTAGTCAGACCCCACAGTAAATCAAACATTAAATATTAATAATGAAATATACATTTATAATGCAACATGGTTTCATGAGATAATTAGGGTCTCGATAAAAAAAAAATACAATATGTGCATGATAACGATTTATTTATAAAACTCCAGTTTGACCCCAAGATATAATATTAAATTTTATAATTAAAAATAGATTTGATATGAAACCTCCAAATATGCATAGAATGCATCAATGATAGTAAAAGATAAAAGAAACCCTACCTCCTTCTTTACTTCTATTCGATACCGTGTACTGTGACAAAATAATCAAAATAATATTTTAGAATAATAATAGGTACTAAG